TATTTTTTTTAGGGTGTTCAGCTTCAAACGGTCCACAGCGGGAACGTTTGAGGCACCTCTAAGGGAATTGAGGCGAAAAGTCAGTGTCAGTCAATGTATTGTTTTAGAATTGGTACCTCTTAGGGGTGAAAACATTTCAAGCCACTCCTACAAAACTGGATCTTGCTACCTCTTAGGGGTTCTTTTCAAAATATCCGAGGAGAATCCACGTCCTTTTATATTGCAGTTCCCTAAGGAACCTAAGGTTGATAGGAAAGCGAAGTTCAACTTCCGATAGACCCAAACCCGCTCCAACTTGAGTCACGCATCTAGTTTTGAAAATATTGTAACCTGCCAGGCAGAATCAACGTTGCGATAAATTAACCCTCAAAGGTATGAAAAACTTAAAACACGGAAGAGGATTACACCTTTCAAAGCAAGATAACACTCTGTGAATCCGGCGTAAGAACAAGTCAACTGTGTAGGAAGACGGTAAATATTTCAAAATTCAAAACTTTACGGAGATTAAATATTAACATCCCATTCCCATATAAGCACAGGTATTTAAACAGCATATTTATCATCATCACCTTGTATGCACTCCTGAACTTGTACATCTCCCAATGAACGTTATCCTGGCTAGACGACAGATAGAACGACGTCACCCATTGGTTGGTATCCTGCCGGCCTTGGGTGGCTACTTTGGTGATTTTCATTGCTCGACCAAAGTCACACTTGAACCACTGCAAGTGATTGTTGTGCCTTGCGCACCAGGCCCCCACGAAGCGACCGTGCTTGACTTGGCCCAGTCTCCCGAGTCTGGCCGCGTGAAAGTGGTTCCATTCGGATGAAGCGGTAATTCGACTGTCCGGGAGGCGACGGTTTTGCAATCCCAGGGGTTTGTTACACGGAGCAGCTGTGTAATACACAATGGTGAATAATCAGATTAGTCCATGGCATGTTAGTGAACATGATCTTTTAATGGCGCCAACGAAGAGCTGACACTCGAAACGTGAAGGCTAATCGCTTTTACCGACCTTATCTTTTCCCTCCTGTCACTCTTATAATTACAGTCTGAATTGTACCTCCCCTCTCCCTCAGTCTTTTAACCATTACTAACGTGTAGTAAATATATTTATTGTCATTTCAAATATACCTGAACAACCATAAACCTCAGCCCTCATAGATATCCAGCTGTACCAGCTTCGCGGATAAAAACGAACATGTATAGCCGTGAATGGCCTGGTAAACTGGTGATACACAATGGAATGGCGGTCGGTGTTTCCATTAAAAACCTGAAGAAAAAAATATAAACAAACATGCATGAAGTAGGCTGAGGAACGAGTAGTGAAAATATAAAGACTTAAGATTTTTAGATGAAGGGAGAGCAGCCCGGTTAGCTCAGTCGGTAGAGCATCAGACTTTTAATCTGAGGGTCGTGGGTTCAAGAACCATGTCGGGCGACAACATTTTTTGTTTAAGCAACGGTTAAAAGACTTGAAACTGAAACGGGCCAAGACTAGATATAAAATAATCGAACCTACATATCAGTTAAAATGAAAGTGGAGTTTGGTTCTTTCCTTTTTCTTTCCCCGGTGAGGCATTTTTTTTTTCAGAAACAGTCAAAACTGTGAATGTTCCAGATATCAAGTTTGATAGTAAATATCCCATGCACGTGGTTTTTGAACCTGCTTCAAATAACTACAAAAATTTGCTAAATGGTCTGATAAGAAAGTATTATTACTTGCTCCTAACCCTCGATGTTTCGGTAAGCTTGACTTCCCTTCTTCAGGAATATTGAGAAAAATTAAAAGGTAATAAAGTATTCTCTATTTTCCAATTGCCCATAATTCACTCTGTTTGCCCCCCAAATTTTGTATGAACTGTTGTTGTGAAATGCTCTTGGGAATATGCAGACCTCTAAAGAGCATTTAAAAATAATAGCTTATGCAAAATTTTGTGGCCAACAGAGTGAATTATGGTCAATTGGAAACTAGAGAATGGCGAACTAGCTTTTTCGCTTCTGAAACGTCTGTTTTTTTATAAAATCGATTTCCCTCGGAAAAATCCCGAAGAACACAGAACAATTTTGATTTTATAGAAGAGAGGTTAAAGTTTCAGAGGTACAGTTAGATTTTCTTGATTTTTATACTTATCTCGCTCTGTTCGATCTTTTATCTTATCAGTGACTACAGGTATGGCAGAAATGTGATATTTACCTTGGTAGTGCGACCTTCCTTGTAAGACACGAAATTCATCCCACCTGTGCTGTAAGCGACTGTATAACTTCTCACCCACTGATTTGCATCCTGCCTTCCCTGAGTGGCCACGCCTTTTATGCGCATCAACTCTACAAAGTTCACTTGAAACCATTGTCCTACTCTTCTGAGCCGCACGCTCCATGACCAGCGGTGGTTCAGTCGGCCATGCCAGGGTGAAAGGTGATGGTTGTAGTAGGTGGAGGCCGTAAGATGGCCATCTGTAATACGCTTATCTTCCAAACCGAGAGGCATAGCACAGCGGTCTAAACAAAAGTAAGATGGGAGGTATTAAGGGTGAATGGAGGTAGAACACGTCGCAATGACGACAAGAAGGTTCAAGTGCTATTCGCCATTTTCACATCGCCCATAATACACCTTGTTTGCCCCCCAAAATTTTGCATAAGCATGGTCTTCAGTTTTTCTTGGGACGACTGTAATACCCAGGAGAAATAAGAAACAAAGGTTATGCAAATTTTTTTTTTTTG